GTGAGGAAGGCGCAATCACGCCAGCCCAATCACCCTGCCTCTGCCACTGCGCATAAGCCCCTCCCCTTCCCATTCTAACCGCCTCTCTCCCCTCCTTTGGCAGGCGCGCTGGTCTACATGCCCCCAAGACCCGCCCTACCCTCATGTGGGGGTGAGGAAGGCGCAATCACGCCAGCCCAATCACCCTGCCTCTGCCACTGCGCATAAGCCCCTCCCCTTCCCATTCTAACCGCCTCTCTCCCCTCCTTTGGCAGGCGCGCTGGTCTACATACCCCCAAGACCCGCCCTACCCTCATGTGGGGGTGAGGAAGGCGCAATCACGCCAGCCCAATCACCCTGCCTCTGCCACTGCGCATAAGCCCCTCTCCTAAACCCATTCTAACCGCCTCTCTCCCCTCCTTTGGCAGGCGCGCAGGTCTACATACCCCCAAGACCCGCCCTACCCTCATGTGGGTGTGAGGAAGGCGCAATCACGCCAGCCCAATCACCCTGCCTCTGCCACTGCGCATAAGCCCCTCCCCTTCCCATTCTAACCGCCTCTCTCCCCTCCTTTGGCAGGCGCGCTGGTCTACATACCCCCAAGACCCGCCCTACCCTCCCGAGGCAGTGAGCTAGGGAGCATGCAGACGAACTGCAGCAGCAAGTCTGCACTTTTGTCTAATCCCCCTCCCTCCCTGTGACGTTGTACTCGTTGTAGCATCTCCCTTTGCATTTGTGCAGGGTCCATCCGACCCAGCCAGACATCCCGGGGCTGTGAGATGTAGTTCAGTCAACCCATCTGACTAAGACGGTCTTCCTCCCTCTGTGCCTAAGCTCCTAAACCCTTCTCAACAATCTCTTGCCCTGAACCTCTGTGAAAATGCAGGCCGCTGCAAAGAAAGCCGTAGACATACTTGTCTATGAGACTCCGAACGCCCACCTGCAGTTCTGGTGCCCTCGTTCAGCGGTTATCAATGCGCTAGCGTCTGCCTTGAAGTACACAGACCCTGCGCAGATGAAAACCTGACGCTAGTGATGGAGAACGAGACTGGTCGACCGGGTCAGTTTCGAAAGAAGTTCCAGGACAAACGCAACACGATACTCACCACGGGCCGCGTCAACCTGTATGAGTACTTCAATATCAAGATAGAACGGCCGAACCTCCACCAGGCCGTGGTGGGACGTGTGGAACCTTCAGCCTTTGTCGCCAAATTCGCTGCAGGTAGCGTTTCATAGCCACTTGCCTGCTTCCCCTGTTCAAAGGCTTGTTACTTTGCACCTGCACACACACTCGCACGTCTCTCGTATCCAGCCGGCTCTCTTGCGCGACTTTTCCACTAACTGTGCCCCTGTTCCCATGTTTTCCCGTCCATCCACCAGTTGTCAAATTCCTGTACCCACGATTTTCCCTTCTACCCCACTGTTTTGCTGTCCCCACTGCCCCCCATCAGACATGCCATGCAAGCCCATGCCGCCAGGTGATGTACACCATTCTGCTCACAATGCCGAGGCACGCAAGACCAAGAAGTTCTTCATTGTCTCAGATTTACATGGTGCCAATCTTCAGTGGGACTTCGCACCGATCGACAGCTCTCACCCTTCCCTACTGTACCTTGCTGCCCGCCAATGCCCACTCTGTCCTCCGGTCCTCTGCTGTGCCCCTCTATACCCCTCCATTCTCCGCATGCACCCACATGTCCAGCACGGGCCTGTCGAAGATTGTGAAGGCAGAGGCTCTATGCATAGGGCAGAACCCTTCCCCCAAACGCATGCCTACCAAAATCTGATGCATTTCACCATTCCTCGTTGAGTTGTGTTTCATTTGTAAGCCCCTTGAGATTCCCTCCTACACCCCGAATTCCAGATGATGAATCGTGGGACCTGCTGACCTGGACTAAGAATGACAAGGGGGTCCTTCTGGCAAACGACATTTTCACCAGCGCTATCTATCTGTCATATGAGAGGGAGGGCTATCCGAAGCTGGTGCTGCGACTGAAACACATTGCGTTTTGGCTCCTCGGGGTAGGTGAACATTCAGTGCATGTCAGTTGGTGCAGAACTAGTTGGTGCTCATGTTGATGTTCTGCTTTGCATAACTGCAGGTGGAACACAAGATCAAGACTGGTTTGCCTCTCTCTCACAGCAGTGTGAACCTCAAAGGACTGTACGCAAGATACAGCTCCAATGTCCGCAATGTCGTTCGTGATGCCATCCAGAGCCCCACGCGCAATGCCACGGGACCTTGGTGGCAGGCCGATTTCAAAGCGTGGAAGTTTCACGAGAGCATAGATTGCCTTTTTATCAGCTGTGATGGGATTGAGGATTTGAACCCTTAGAAGTGCTACTATGGGTAGGCAATAAATAGTTGTGTGCTTGCTTTGACGCTCACAGGACGTAGATTTGTAGTAACGTAGTATTATTAATTGTAGGTTCTGTATGTAGAGACGTTTTTGTATATCCAATTGAGTGGCAAACAACTGCAAAATTAATATCCAGCAAAAAGTCCTAAAATTAAAAGCTCATGAAATAATAATATACGTACTGTAAAGTATGTTTTCTACTCACATAAAATGTAGCACCACAAGACCGATACAATGCACCGAGTAACTATAAACGAGTATCTGCAAACCTGTAACATTCTGACAAAATGTCCCTGGTATGTCGCACGTCATCACAATTTGAGCAATGGCACCATCACACCTGGGAATGGAAAAGGGAAAGTATATCCCCGCTCCTGACTTTCAGATTTCTCTCATATTCAGCCCTAGGTTTACTCAAAAAGCACCACTTTCTAGAATTTCTCTCACGCGAGGCCCAAAGTATGTTCAAAAGTGGTCCTGCGGGGCGATTTTTTCGACACGTGTCCTCTTGTTACACCATCTGACGAACTTCCACGCATGGAAAATTTGGAGGGGGGCAAAAAAAATAAAACCCCTAGAGAACCAGGACACATTCGCGGGAGGGATCAACCCTAAACACCTAGCAGGTCCCGTGTTTAGGGTTGCTCCCTCCCGAAAATGTGTAATGGTCCTTTAGGGGTTTTATGTTTTTTTGTCCCGTAAAAACTTTTCCGGCGCGAAAATTGCCCTGACAAACGGTTAGTTCAGAGTGGAAGTGCGTCAGCTGGTAACAAAAGAACACGTGTCGAAAACTTTGCCCCGCAGGACCAGTTTTGAACATACTTTGGGCCTCGCGTGAGAGAAATAAAGAAAAGTGGTGCTTTTTGAGTAAACATAGGGCTAAATATGAGAAAAAACTGAAAGTCGGGAGCTGGGATAGACTTTCCCGGTCTAGGAGGAAATGACGGAGCGCCGTGCTTTCTTGTATCCAATTCCAATGGGCAGTGGTTTTGACAGCACGTCGCTCCGCGCTCGCGTTCAATACCTTCGGGCATATGATTTCTCCGTTTCCCCTTTTTAGTCCACTAATACTTATTGTTTTCGTTTTACGGGATATTCGTCATCAATTTCTTCGACTCCACAGCAAACACGCAGCTTGGGGCAAAAAAAAATAAAACCCTCATGGATGGTATGCCACGTAGGGAGCATCTGTCAGAGGTCCACTGGTGATCCCCGATTGATCCTAGGGAAGGGTTACAGGCATGGCGGCCTGGGGGGTTATGGGCGCACTCACCCGCTACACAAACAAGCCCTTTTATCCCAGTGGTTAGTGGCTGGGATTCTGACATGTTATCAGAGCGAAGGTCTCGGGTTCGAATCCCGGTGTGTGCACCTCGGGCATCCCAGTGCGGGGGGGTGTCAGAGGTCCACTGGTGATCCCCGATTGATCCTAGGGAAGGGTTACAGGCATGGCGGCCTGGGGGGTTATGGGCGCACTCACCCGCTACACAAACAAGCCCTTTTATCCCAGTGGTTAGTGGCTGGGATTCTGACAGCATCAACCCTAAACACCATGAGGCAAGGTGTTTAGGGTTGATGCCTCCCTAATGGCTTGTCATCCGAGTGGGTTTTAGTTTTTCCACTTGCAGCTATACTGAAAACCGGGTAGACTCCGGATTTGCCCTTTTATACCTTTGGTCACGAGAAAAAGGAAATCACAATAAAAACTGCCCGTGGGAATTGGGCGCGAGAGCGGAGGGAGTCGATGTCAAAGCCACTGCCGAAAGGAATCGGAAACGAGCAATCAGGGCGGTCCGACATTTCCTCCAGGTCTAGGCTCGGGAACAGGGCTATTGCTAGGATTTTTGCTAGCTCGGACGATCCGGGCCCCTGTGAAAAAGACCCTGTAAAATCCGAGCCAGCGGAAAAAAAACCTTGACGAATCCGGGTTCGAGCCAGAAAAGGCCTGAAAACATGCATTGCCAGAATTTCGCGGGAAACTCACAGTGGGTTGCACGAGGGCTGGGGAGATTGGAGATGGAGTGGCTCTGGAGGGGTGAGCGAGATACTTATTTTAGACTTCGAAAAAAATACGATGAGGAAGAGTACATAGGGAGAACAGGGCAATCAGACACTCTCTCCTTATTGGCCTTCTAAGCCATGTCGACGTAGAACAGGGCAATCAGACACTTGGAGGCCAACAAGGAGAGAGTGGTTAGGAAATTCACTAAAAGTGGCCCACGTGTGTTTAGAGGGAGACGGAGAGGAATGCAAGGCAGGTCGGGGAGAACATGTCTGCTAAAATTATACGGGTCCCCTTGAGAACTCCCCGGAGAGATCCGAGCTGACTCAATAATCACCCTTCAGTTTTACGGGCTGGTCCGAAAAAAACCTTGTGAAAATCAGGGCTCCTTGAAAAAACACCCTATAATTTCAGTCAAAACAGGGTAATTGCCCTGATAACTTAGGCCCTGCTCGGGAACACACACAGCATGAAAATATACGCTACGTAGGTTCATTGGCAACCGAAAAGTAGGCGTTTTCAAACCTACTGAAGAGTATCTACCAGGTATCCAAATCGTAGCTTTTTTTCTCGCACATTTTTGGGACGCTCTCCAGCTTACCCTTTCCGGTCTTACTAGAACCTCTCAGCCTTCCCGGTCGCGTTCGCGTTACCTCAGCATGGCCTCAGTGTGCGAGTCGTCGTATCCGTCGTATCCTGCAGCGCTGGGCTTCTGGAAGAGCCTCGACAGGGAGACGTCGAGGGCATCACGGCGCGTACAGCCGCTGAGCGACAGCACCAACAACGCTCATCGCACTCACGCCGTCGCGGGATGCAAGCAAGATGCGACGGCGTCAGAAACTGGTGCGTGGGAATGCGCAGCGTGGGAGTCAGGCGCGTCGGATCGTGCATCGTTGGAAACTCGTGCGTCGGACCCTGCACCGTGCCACTGTGCCGCTTCGGATGCGCCGGAAACTGCTGCGCTGGACTCCGCAGCGCCGGAGTCAGCTGCGACGCACTCTGGTGCGCCGGAATGTGCAGCGCCGGGATCACCTGCCACGGAAACCGCTGCGACGGAAATCGCTGCGACGGAACCCGCTGCGACGGAAACCGCTGCGACGGAAACCGCTACGACGGAAACCGCTGCGACGGAACACGCTGCGACGGAACGCGCTGCGACAGAAACTTCATGGTCGTCACCCCCGTCAGGTGGTGGCAGCAAAGCGGCAGCAACGCAATAAACGATGTGGGTCCCCCCGTCGCGCATCCTGAAGCCGAGCAACACGGGAGCAGCGATACGGCGCGTGGAGGGAGCGACACTCATTCCCAGGCCTCGATGTGCCGTAGCACACAGGGAGGTGCGGCGAGTGGAAGGTGAAGGTGCAGTGAAGGCGCCTCGCAGAACGCCCAAGGCCGCGCTGACTGGCACCCCAAAGCGGCCATGGCGGCCTTGACGGCCTTGACTGTCGCAACACAACAAAAAAAAAAGGAAAAAGAAAGCAGACAGCATCACAAAAAAAGAGGTGAAAAGAGCGGAGAAGAGAAGAAAGAAGGGTTGACAATTGTTTGCAGTATGACGGCCCAAAGCGCACATGAGGGCCTTGACTTGTCTGGCTCTTGGTAAAAAAAAAAACAGAAAAAAATGTGGAGCCAGGTGGGGGAGGGTTGAGGATGAGATGGGTGGATGGGTGGAAGGCAGGTAAGCGCAGGAGAGCAGAGCAAGAGGGGGAGCAGCGAGTGGGAGTGATGGGGAGGAGGATGGGCGTGGTGGGGATGGGCAAGGCAACACGGTGGCACGGCCCTTTTTTGCGCCCTGCTTCACAGCAGGCCGTTTGTGGGAGTGCGGGCGGGTGGGTGCATGGCGGTTGCAAGTTGGAGGAGGTGAGGACAAGGTGGAGTGGAGTGGTGCTGTGCTGAGAATGCGCTGCTGCTGCAAGCTTCAAGGATGGGAGTGCAAGCTTCAAGGATGGGAGTGGCGTGGGGTTGGTCGGGAAGGAATAGGAGTATGGGTAGAAAGTTGGTAGTGGAAGGCAACCTGACACCCCAACAGTAAAGGTCCTCACTTGGCGTAGCTGCAAATGGGTGCAAGGAGTAGGCAGCATGGCATGGCAGCAATGCTGTAGGTCGTGCCATGCCATTAGGTGGCTACCTGTATCCAGTGCACCGTAGGCTTCAACTCAACCCTTGTTCTTTGTGCCCACTTGCAATCAATCATGGAATGAAGAAACCCTACCCTACTATACTAGCAAGCAGTGACAATTGGATAAGGGAAGCACAGGATTCGATTGGGCGTGCAGTGCAGTGGCATGCACAGTGAGGTGCGTGCATGAGGAGTGGTTTGGGAGGTTGAGAGTTTGGATTGACCCATGTGATGTTGATGGTGCTGCCATGCCATGGTTGAGCGCATGCAGTGGTGTGGTGATGCTGCTGCTGCCACCCCACCCCAGGTGCAGCAGCAAGTGAGAAGCCCAAGTGGGTCAGCCGCGGCAAGCAGCTGACGTGGGGCAGTGGAGGGCGCAGCGCGGGGATGGGCGTGGCGAGGAGGGAGGGGGGGGAGAGGGCAGCAGGCGGGCAGCAGGGGCTTGGAGCAGCAGGTGTGGGTTGAGGGCGAGTGGAGAGCCCCGTTGAGGCACGCGTGGCTGCATCCCCGCCCTGCCCTCCCCTGCCTGCCGCTGCCCCCCTGCCGCCTGCCCTGCCCTCGCCTCTGCCTGCCCCCAGCCAGCACCCGCGCAAGGCGTGCGGCCGGCAAGGGGCAGCAGGGGCGGAGGAGCGCACACGGAGGGGGGACGGAGGGGGAAAGGAGGGGAAAAAGGGGGAAATGGGAAGGGAAAAAATGAGCGCAAAAGGAGGAGAAGGGCAGTGGAATAGGAGAAGGACTGAAGTGGGTAGGGTAAATGAGGGGGAAGGAGCGGAAAACGAGGCGGGAAGGAGGAGGGAAGGAAAGGGCAAGGAGGGGGGAAGTAGGAGAAAAACGCGGGGGAAGAAAAGGGAACGGAGTGAGGAATGGGAGGGGGAAGGGAGAGGGGGATTGGAGGAAAAGAAGTAGTGAGGAGTGAAAGCAGGAGTCAGGCAGGCGAATAGGAGGGGGTTGGAGGAAGATGGGGAAATGAGGGAAAGGTGGTTGGACGGAGGGAAAAGGAGGGTAACAGGAGAAGGAAAGCAGGGCGGGTGGAGGGGGAAAGGCGAGGAAATGTAGGGGGGTGGGAGGTGGATAGGAGGGTGACAGGAAGGGGAAAGGAGGGGACAATGGAGGAAATAGAAGATGAAGGAGGGGGAACGGAGGGGAGGGGGAAAGGAGGGGCGGGGGAAAGGAGGGAGAATGAGGGGGAAGGGGAGAGGACAGGAGAGTGAAAGGAGGCGAAAGAAGGAAAGGGGAGGGAATTAGGAAGGGGCGAGGGAATATGGGGGCGAAAGAGGGGGACACGAGGGAGGTGAGGTGGATAGGAGGCGGGCAAAAGTGGGAAGGAAAGGTGGGCGAAAAGATCGGTAAAGGGGGGTGAAGGGAGCGGGAAAGGGGGAAAGGAAGGAGGGAGGAGGGGGAGAGGAAGGGGGAAGGCGGAGGGAAGGAGCGCGGAAGACAATGTGAAAGAGGGTTTGGTGCATGGGCAGGCGATGGCAGCAGCATGATAGGCGGTCCCAGCGCCGTGATGCTTGGTTGGTGCGGTTGGCAGCACTGTCATCCCCAGCCATGCCCTCCCCTGCCCTAAGGAGGGCGTAAGGAGGAGAAAGGGGGAAAAGAGGAGACGAAAGGATAATGACAGGAGGCGAAATAGTTAAATGGAGGGAGTTAGGGGTGGGGGAAATGAGGGCAGAAGAGGGAAAGGAGAGGGAAGGAAGAGGGGAGGAGGGGGACGGGAGGGAGGGAAAAAGTAGAGGGAATGGATGCGTTAAGAGGGGGAAAGGAGCGGGAAAGAAGAAGAGAGGAGGGGGGAGAGCATTGCAAGGGTGGTTGCACGAATGGAAAGGAAATGGGCGGAATGCGTGGGGCAGAGGGGAAGGGGATTGGAGGGATGAGGGGGGATGCGTGGGGTGGTGTGAGCGCGGTTGACTGCCACTTGCTCTTCCCGCCCCTTCCCCGCTCCCGCCACGCCTCTGTCTCTCGCACTCATGGCGCTGCCACGCACTCATGCCATCTCACTCTCCACTCGCGCACTCACCCTGCCAACCCGCGTACAACGCACGCTCTTGCCGCCACTGCCCAGTTGCGCCGCACCATTGGCGGGCAGGCGGGCGGCGCGCGCCACGATACGCGCGCAGGCGAAGCGCGCAGGGGTGGTTGGGGGGAGCGGGGCGCTCATGGGCGGGTAGAGTGGGTGCGGTGCGCGCGGGCAGGCGCGAGGCACCTCGCATCACTCCGCAGCAGCGTCCCGCGCATCCGTCCGCGAATGGCGGGCGCCGCCAATGGCGCTGGCGCGGGAATGCGCGCCTCTCGCGCACCTCGTCAAACGCGCAGCTGCCGCTTCAGTGGCGCCCACGCGGATGCAGGCGCGGCTGGCGGGAGGGCGGTGCGCGCACGCAGGCGAGGCGCGCAGCAGCCGCGCGCACCGCGCGACGTCGCTAGCGCTGGACGAACGCGCGCACGAGCCATCCGTGGCAAGGAAAGCGCATCCACTGCACCGCAACATGACATGACTCGCTCGAGCGCCTTACCACCAACTCACACCGTAACACCCTAATAACTAAACATGAATTAACTTTCGCACGATCTGAGTTAGCGGGAGCGCGTAATCCACGTAGCGCGATTGCGTGAGGGTGTGCCACACCGTCGACTTGCCGCCACCACTCCATCTGCTTCTCTCCTGCACCAGATAGTGAATTCATACTCGGTACAAGCAGCCTTCAAAGTCTTCATACTGTTTTGGAACAACTAGGACACTATCGTAACAAAACACACAATACACAGCTAGTTCCAATATAGTTCTAAGCTGGTGTGCATTTCCATCGACAACCCTGAAAAGAAACAATACTTGACACCATACCACCGTGAAATGCAAGTTAATTTTTTGGATGCGTGTTAGGTTGAGTTTATCACACCTTTGGTACTCGTATGCAAGTTAAACACAATTGCGGGATGATACTCGTGCGAACGGTGCATTTCGGGGCTACAAAGCTCCGTAGGGTAATGCGACGGGAAAAACAATCCAGCGGGAATCCCCTGGCGTGGCCACTCGAGCAATTATCACCAAATTTGGTGGCCACTCGAGTAATTCGAGGCCACGCGAGCAACGATGAATCACCGGTCAAATCGAACTGCGGTCTCATTTTCCCAGTGCATGTTTGCAAATGCAATCTTTTCGGGCAGCACAACGCGGCTTCCCATGCGTGTTTAGGGTTGGGGCTCCCCGTGTTTAGGGTTGGGGCTCCCCTAATTGCATGCCATCCATATGGGGTTTATTTTTTCTGACCGCGGGCAGACTACGGCCCCTCAGCTTCTTCTAGCGCGGATTACATTTGCGAACCGCGCTGGCTAAATTAGATTGCAGCTGAAGTTGTCCCATGAATTACCGAACAGGGTTCCTAGCATTTAACACTTGGTTGGGTTTTCCCAACCCTGATTGAATAACGAATGACGAAATATGTGACGAGCTGGCGAAAAGAACACTGCGAACTCCCTTGTCTACGTGGCCAAACCAAACAAGGTTGGGCATGCTAGGTGGAAGTCTAGCCTGGGGGGACAGGTTTGGCCCAGATTGGGGCCTGAACGATCACCCCCTCCTCCCCCGACGACAACAGCACGTCGCATGTATGCATAGCTGAAGTGCCACAAAATGAGTGCTAACTCGATTGTAACGACGTTCCAGTCACCGAGCAGTAGGACCACCGGAACAAAAATACGGTAAGCATTCATACCCCGATATTGTTAGGGACGGGCTGAATTAGATTAGGGAAAGGCGAGGTACGTGTCATGATGGGCGGAATGAGGTTAGAGAGAGTGGAAATCATGAAGGAATGGCGAAATGAGTGCGTGAAGTGCAGAACGGAAAAAAAAAGGGCGTACCGACAGGACGAGAGGCGGAACGAAATGAAGAGAGGCGGAATGAAAGGAAGAAGGGCGGATTGAGCGGAAGAAGGTCTAGGGTATTTTGCGGAGTAGGGGAGAAATGGGAGGAAGAAGGGCGGAATGACAATAGGGAGTGCGGAACAAGAGTACACGCGGAATGCAAGTAGGAACCGCAGAATGAGAGGGCTCAATGAAAGTGGGAACCGCGGAATGTTCGTAGGAACGGAGGATTGAGATTAG